CGCCCACCCAAAGTGGGTGGGCATCAATGTGTGTTGAAGCCAAGTTAAAGGGCATATTTATGTATTATGCCTTTAATAAAAGGTATGCAACATGAACATAAAAAAACTTAAAACTTATACAATAAAAAAATAATTATATGTCTCCTAGTTATAGTTTTGGCATTAGATTGCTGATCTTGGCTAATCTGTAGGCATCTCAAAGCGGCAAAGCGGACAGTAATGGCTATTCTCTAACCACTTTGTAACGCAATCTCCATGAAACATATGTGAACAAGGCAAACGCAGTACTTGAGTTTCCTCCCCTATCTCATCTAAACATACCAAACAATCATCCTTGTTATTTCTTTCATCAGTTTCAATCGTCTCTAGCAACTCTATTGATGATTTACTAGCCGGTACCATTCCAACCACAGATGATGATTCTTCCAATGCTAACAAAATTCTACCATCGCAATATTGATCAATCGTTAATGCTATAATCACACATACCTTTGACATAATCTCAGTAGTCATCATGAAGGTTTGCAACTTATTAGTTGTTTGTTCAACTATATCATGATGTTGATCTTCAAACTCGGCCTTAAAATCCTTTAGCAATTCTGATATAATGTAATCGAGTCTATCATAGAGCTTGATATCAGAAAGATGAATAACGATTGGAGATAAAGTGGTCATACTTTCCAATGTTCTACCCACACGTTCAGATGCTTGATCATTGGGTCTTATATACCAATATTGTTTTAATATATTGAAACTAAATTGAATGTTTAATAAGGGTAAAGAAGAAGTATATGAAGAAGTAATTGGGGGGATAATCAAATTTTCTTGGTTGGAAATTGGTTTAATTTTAACAAGAGAGTGCTTGAAGAAGCTATGGCATACAAAGGGTAACATATTGCAAGTATTGAGAGGAGAAATAAATATTTTTTTTATTAGAACTTTCAAGTTTATTTATAAGATTAGCAAAACCAAAATTTATTAAGGAAAGGATTAGTGAGTGGGAAGCCTAATTTGATGAGAAAAAGGAATTATTATAGGTGGGGAAAAAATTATGAAAAGTAATACAAGTACACTAAATTAGAATAGGAAAAGGAAAAGGAAAAGGAAAAGCTGTAACAAACCCAATAACTAAACCAACACAATTCAAATTCTCATAATTGGAATTACAAAGGAATTAAGAAGTAAAAGAGAAATTGAAGAATACAGTAGAAGAAAGGGATGAGAAGCAAAACTCAGAGAAAGGGAATGAGAGGACTAGACATTTTTTCTCAACCAGTTGCCTATATAGCTCTTTCTCATCCGTCATCCTTTTAGCTAGTTGTTAATTGGGCTTGGGTCCCAAATCAACCTTTGCAAAGGCCTTCCAGTTTTATTGCTTCTTCTCGGCCCAATAACTAGTTGTATGACATCTGTGTAGGTATCGACATTAGCCCGAGGCTGATTCATAACAGTACTCCCGTCCCCAATAAGAACCTTGTCCTCAAGGTTCGAGTTAAGAACAATGTCAGTAGTGCGCTCCCTACCAATTGTAACCGAGACAAACTGTGTACAGATGTGGCAGGGTGCAAGTGATTAACTTGGAGACGTCCACCAGGGTTACAATGAACAGATTCACACTTTAATTAAGCAAAGATATTTAGTGGAATGGTTAACACTTTGTTTAGATGGTGGTTAACTTGTTATCAATGGTTTAATAGTATAGGGTAAGGGGTGTATATCGATTTGTTCGTTTCGATTTTATGAATTATCAATTTGATTTATTAATTTTCACAATTTTGAAATATGTTAAAATAAATAACTAAATCAATAAGATATTTTTATTGGTTTCTGATTTATTGACTTTTGATTTCTAATAGTTCGGTTTTAGGAATAACTAAAAAGAAACTTGTAAAATAATTATATGACTTCTCCAATAATTTGCCGTAATGATCATAGAATAAAAACAGTACTAACTAACATGAAAAGTACTCTATATGTAACCCACAAATAAACAAACTAGAACAATAACGTGAATTGAAAGCTAATAACAAATAATTATAAACTTCATAAGATATCAAACCACAATTTGAAATCATTCAAACAAAATACCATCAAAATATTCCAACAATTTTTTTGGTTCAGTGTAGTACTGAATACATTATACATTAGTAATAGTAGCAATATAATCTACTACAAAATTGTTTTTGGCTTTAGATTGTTGATCCATTAGGCAGTCTTGTCTAATCTGTTGGCATCTGAAAGCGGCAAAGTGGATTGAATGGTTAACACTTTTCTTAGATGGTTAACTTGTTATCAATGGTTTAATAGTGTAGGGCAAGGGATGTGTATCGATTTGATGTATTATCGATTTGATTTATTACTTTTTGATTTTGAACTAGTTTAAATCAATAACTAAACCAATAAGATATTTTCATCGGTTTTCAATTTGATTTCTTTTACTTTTGGTTTTCGATTGGATCAAAAAAAGAAAATGCTCATAAAATAATGGTATGACTTGTCCGATAATTTGGTGCGACAAGATAGTAATGTAACTTTACGTAATGATGATGAAATAGAAACAATATTACTAACATGAAAAGAACTTTATGTGTACACCGCAGATAAAAATGTAAATTGAAGGCTAATAACTAATAACTATACACTTCATAAAGATACCAAACCATATAATTGATTACACAATTTGAAATCATTCAAACAAAATACCATCATAATATTCCATCAATTTTTTTGGTTGAGTGTAGTACTGCATCATACATTATACATTAGTAATAGTATCAATATAATCTACTACAAAATTGTTTTTGGATCCTTTAGGTAGTTTTGTCTAATCGGTTGGCATCTGAAAGCGGCAAAGCGGGCAGTAATGGCTATTCTGTAACCACTTGGTAATACACTCAGCATGAAACATATGAGAGCAAGGCAAGCGCAGTACATCAGTTTCCTCCCCTAACTCATCTAGACATACCGAACACTCATCGTTGCTATTTCTTTCATCAGCTTCCATCGGCTCTAGCAACTCTATCGATGATTCACTAGCCGGCACCATTCCATCCACAGATGATGATTCTTCCAATGCTAACAAAATTCTACCATCGCAGTAGTGATCAATCTGTAATTCCACATCCACACATACCTCTGACATCTCAGTAGTCGTGATGCTTAGCAACTTACGAGCTGTTTGTTCAACTATAGCGTGTTGTTGATCTTCAAACTCGTCTTTAAATTGCATAAACACTTGTGATAGAGCTTGATCAAGTTTCTCATAGAGCATGGTATCGGAAAGATGATTAATAATTTGGGTCGACTTGGTTGAACAGTCCTCCCGTATTCCACCCCGGTATACGGATGCTTGATCATTAGGTCTTATATACCAAAATTGTTGCACTATACTGAAATTGAAGTGAATGGTTAAATATGGTAAAGAAGAAGAAGAAGAAGAAGAAACAATTGGTTCAACGCTAACAAAAGAGTTCTTGAAGCAGTCATGGGATACAAACCCTGTGGGAAACATATTGCAATTTTTGAGAGAAGAAATCAATAATTTTTTACTAATGGGAGACTTACCACCCCCTTTCAAGCTTATTTATAATATTACTATCAAACCTAAACTGATTAGGAATAGGATTAGTGAGTTTCTATATTAAAAAAGGAAATACGTGGGGAAAAATTTAGAGAAGTACACGTTTTTAGGGATTACTTCATAAATTGGAAACTTCAAATATTATTAGTAGTTTTATTTATGGAAAAGAACACGTTTTGGAAATACTCCATAAATTGGAAACTTCAAATATTTTTTGTATTTTTATTTATGGAAAACAACACGTTTAGGGAAGTACTCCATAAATTGGAAACTTCAAATATTATTTGTATTTTTATTTATGGAAAAGTAATAAAAAAAAATTGTAGATTGATACTTACCAATCCTCTTCACTGTGACTTCCAGGCTAATAAGACCATAATTTCAGTGAAATCATAAAAGACGCTGCATTGCTATAGTTGTGATGTCTGAGGGGTCAACTTAATTCCAGAACGTATTTACTACAATAATTTTAGACATGAAAGTAGGCTAAAGTTAGAAGGTCAAAGTCTCAAAGACATAGCTACATCAAAAATTGATTTTTTTTTACAGAAAAGGCACGAAGTTCTCATTTTATCTCCAAAACAAAATCACAAATTCGACAGCTTGAGTAAAATTGACAGGGCAAGACATGTAAGAAGCATAAGCGATTAGGCGGGTAAGAAGCATAAGCGACTAAGTGGGTAAGAAGCATAAGTAATTAAGCAGGTAAGAAGCATAAGTAATTAAGCAGGTAAGAAGCATAAGTAATTAAGCAGGTAAGAAGCATAAGTAATTAAGCAGGTAAGAAGCATAAGTAATTAAGCAGGTAAGAAGCATAAGTAATTAAGCAGGTAAGAAGCATAAGTAATTAAGCAGGTAAGAAGCATAAGTAATTAAGCAGGTAAGAAGCATAAGTAATTAAGCAGGTAAGAAGCATAAGTAATTAAGCAGGTAAGAAGCATAAGTAATTAAGCAGGTAAGAAGCATAAGTAATTAAGCAGGTAAGAAGCATAAGCTATAGAGCGAAGTGTGCATTCTACTCTAAGAAGAGATGGCACTCATACTAACGACAACACAAACATAAAAAAGAAGTTGTGTTAATCTAATTCAAGCTCAAATCTAACGATAACCAAATCTGGCAATCATACCTTATAGAACTCATGTTGAGGACGTGAAAGAACGGGTATTTCATTGTATGCCTGCATAAGCTTCCTCTCTGCTGCACTTAACCGGAGGTCCTCCACATTTGCTAACAACTTAATATCTTCAACCTTTACCTAAAGGGAACAGTACCATCCATTGGAAAAGCCTACACTTTTTCCATTTCATCATCCATTACTCTCTGATCAATAGGAAAGAAACAAACAAGAGGTGAATACACCCTGAAATAATGACTGGGAAACAAGCAGCACGTAACACAATACTACAAAAGAATGTACACAGAAACTAACAGAATGTGAAAAAAGTAAACACCAACAGAGAAACAAATGTTACAAGAGGCATAGTAAAAAAGACGAACATTAAGAAACATGATTAAGCAATTAAGAAGCAACAGAAGATATATACAACTAGAAATAGGTTAAAAAAGAAACAAGGAACCAATGACATGGTAAGTAGAAGTGTAGAACTTACTCTGATGTTCTCTTGAAAATGAGGAAGTTCTTTTGCATAACTTTCTGAAAGCTTAAAGTACAAGACAAAACTCATTCCTTAGCCATCAGTTTCACACTGAAAAATTGCAGTAGGATATAATGGTACCTGTAAAAAAGAAAGAAAAACGGCAAAAACAGCATCTTAGCAACTCAAATGAGTGAATATTTGAATACAAAATGGCTGTTGTTTTATTGATATTAATAGAGGTTATATGGCCACCTATATTGAAAACCTACATGGATGTTAGTAAAGCCTTGTAATTCAAAAGCCATTTGGCTGTTGAATAACTTTGACTTTGAAGAGACTCAAACACATGTCATGTGTCTCTTTAGCACAAAAATTACCTGTCTTTAAATTAACCATCAGACCAAATTAATAACAACCATCCCAATGGAGAAAAAAAAAAGAAATACACTTATTCTCTTAAAGATAATCTAAACGCTACCTGAATATTCACTACAAGAATGTGTGGAATAGTCCCAGAGTGCTCAATGACAGGAAGTTCCACAAGACGAGCAATATCATCATTTTTTCTTTGAGATAAAAGTAAATCAACACCAAAAGGATAATATGCAGCCTAATTTGCCGAAAATGCTTCAGTCACAAAATCTCCAGCCAACTTTCTAGCAATCGTCTTGGCAGGCTTAATCTGAAACTGTGGAAAACAGAGAGAACTCGAGGGAAAAAATAAAAAGGTAATGGGAAAACCACCATAACCAATTCAAAATGGGAAGGAATGAGATAAAAGAGATTGATACTGCAACAACCAGCAACAATAATGAGAGCAGCAAAAAGAAGGTGACGAGAAAATTGCCAAGCGCGAGAGAGCTTGTATCACACTATGAATCACAAGGCATCCCAAGAAGCTTTCTTTAAGGTCATTGAGGATCTCCAGGGTGTCTCTTCAGGGTGATCAGCACTTCTCGAAATGACAAGAATCGCAATAATAAAAGAAATGAATCATCTCAAGCCTTTAGAAAACTCAACATCATCAATGCTCGACTGCTCAGCCTTGACATGAAAATTGACTCCAAGTCAGGCTAACCTCGAACCCTCGCCATCAGGTTTGCCTTTGTTGGCCTTCTTCAAGTGCTCCATCGTGTGGCAGAATCGGTCGTCCAAATTTGGAACTCTGTAAGAAATGCTAATAACTCAAAACAGTAACAGATCATAAATCTTTTTGGTTAGCAATGTTTTCTTGTAGTCATGGTTCTTCTACTTCTGAAGTAGAGTTTTTGTTGAACTTATGATATACCAAAAAATAGAAAATTGTTCTCTTAAAATAAATAATAATAATAATAATTTGCCGCAAACACTTTCTTAAAAGACGTTGCACTGCTATAACTGTGATGTCTGGGCGGTCAACTTACACGCACATTACTAATTCCACAAGGTATCTTCTACAATAATGTTAGACTTAAAAATAGGCTAAAGTTAGAAGGTCAAACTCTCAACGATATAGCTACATCAAAAACTGATTTTTTTTACAGAAAAGGTACGAAGTTTTCATTTTATATCACAGATTCAACAGCTTGAGTAAAATTTGATAGGGCAAGACATGTAAGAAGCATAAGAGATTAGGTGGGTAAGAAGCATAAGAAATTAAGCGGGTAAGAAGCATAAGCTATTAAGCGATGTGTGCATGCTATTCTAAGAAGACATGGCACTCATACTAATGACCACACAAACATAAAAAATAAGTTGTCATCCAATTCAAGCTCAAATCTAACGTTAACCAAATTTGGCAATCATACCTTATAGAACTCATGTTGAGGATGTGAAAGAACAGGTATTTCATTGTATGCTTGCATAAGCTTCCTCTCTGCTGCACTTAACCAGAGGTCCTCCACATTTGCTACACAACCTAATATCTTCAACCTTTCCCTAAAGGGAATAGTAACATCCATTGGAAAAGCCTACACTTTTTCCATTTCATAATCCATTACTCTCTGATCAATAAGAAAGAGTAAGAAAAGATTGTTCCGTAAGAAATCTGACTCTGAGAGTTTGCCGAGAAACAAACAAGAGGTGCATACACCCTGAGATAATGATGGGAAACAAGCAGTACGTAACACAATACTACAAAAGAATGTACACACAAACTAACAGAATGTGAAAAAAGTAAACACCAAAAGAGAAACAAATGTTACAAGAGGCATAATAAAAAAGACAAACATGAAGAAACATGATTAAGCAATTAAGAAACACATTAAGGGCTTCTTGTGAATACCCCAGATAAAAGTAAACCACATCCTTTTCAGGCAATATATAAAACATCTAGCGGGCATACACCATGTCATCAACTTGGTTCCCAAATGAACATTTGAAGGAAACCCACATTTTAGCCCATTTCAGCCCAACCTATTTCAGTCAAATAGCTTTTGGACAAGTCAATAGACCGTCAATTTATTAACTCAATCAAATTTGAACCCACCCAAATTCATCTCAATCCGCCAATTTGACACCTCTACCAATATTAATAACATTTCAGGGGAGGGAATTGAGAGTTTGGGCTAAGCCAATTTATTACATTCCTATTAATGATTCTTTTGCATGGATAGTTTTTTCCTTTCTCAACAGAAAAACCGATAAACTTAAAATGAAGAATGCCTTACATTGTACTTGATGTATCCGCAAGTTCATTTGTTGCTTCTGGTAAGCTCATACAAGCTTCCATCGGCTCAGTCTAGGCTTCTAAGCTTGTCGTTGCTACTGTCCCGGCGAAGCAGCTGCAGGTGCGAACCCCAAATTCCAAACAAAACTGATGACCAGCCATTATGGAAGAAGGTAATCAGGGAGAAATATGGTTTGGATGGAAGATGGACTACCAAAGTAAGCAATAGTCCTTATGGAGTTGGTCTCTGGAAATCCATAAGGAAATTGTGGCCCAAATTGCAAACAAAAACAATGCTCAGCGTTGGTAATGGAAGGAAAGTAGATCTATGGAATGATAAATGGATTGAACAAGGCTCCTTAAAGCAACTCTATCGAGACATATATTCCCTCAATCAACAACAAAACTCAACAATTGAAATGGTTTGGGGTGAAATGGTGGAATTTGAGTTTCAGAAGAGCTTTAAATGATTGGAAAATTGATAGACTAGCAAGCTTTTTCGGAACCTTAGAACAATTCAAAGGAACATCAACTGAGGGAGATTCCTTGATATGGTCAAGGAATAAGCAGAACAAATTTACAGTGAAAGCAGCATACAGAGTATTCACAACCTCAAACAATCAGAGTAGAACTTTGTCCTTGGAAGATGATCTGGAGGGTTAAGATCCGTCACAAAGTTGCATGCTTCTCTTTGTTGCTAGCCAGAGAAGTTGTACTCACACAAGATACACTCATGAGGAGAGGTTTCAATCTTTGCTCAAGGTGTTTTCTTTGTGTTAAGGAAGCAATGACAATCTCTCATCTCTTTCTTCACTACAGCTGGACTGACCAGTTGTGGAAGATTTGCATTAACTTGAGGGGCATTAGCTGGACTATGCCAGGAAGAGTATCTGAGGTACTGAAATGCTAGAACAGTGATATACCAATCCCTCCAATCAGAAAGAGAGATGGAAAATTGTCCCAGCCTGCATTTGGTGGACTTTGTGGGGAGAAAGAAACCAAGTTTGTTTTGAAGACAAAGCCATTAGTATACAGAAACTAAAAATGAAATGTTTAGGGCTTTTCTTTTTTGGTGTAAACATAGCTAATGGAAGAGTTAGAATCAATTTATGATGTACTAGATACCTTACGAGAAGAATAAGGTCTAGGAGCTTTTTGTTTTTGCTCATCTGGATGTAAATATGGGGGACTACACACCCTTTGTGTAGTTTGTTATTGTAATACACAAAAATGTTACCTGTTCAAAAAAAAAATGAGAAAAGTAGAGGGCAGTTGCATTGACAGCCAGCATGAATACACAAACTATGATCACCATATAACGTGCACAAGACACATCTTTAAATACTTAAATATGTCTTTTAACTTGACTTCAAATCACATTTATGCCCTTCAACTTTGGGTGTGCACAACTAGACATTTAAACTTGTATAAAGTTAAACAAATAGACACGCATGTCCTACATGTCAATTGTTGTCCTACGTGGTGTCCTACGTGTATTGTGCCACGTAGAACTCATGTGTCTACTTGTTCAACTTTGTACAAGTTTAAGTGTCTACTTGTCCATACCCAAAGTTTGAGGGCATAAATGTGAAACGAAGTCAAGTTAAAGGGCACATTTATGTATTATGCCATAACTATGCCGCGCATATGGATTTTCCCTTAGCTTTTCTACTTTTTGTTAACTAAGTATTTCATCTATGCCACAAACCTGCTCTTCTGAATGCACCCTTATATTTGCTTTCCTAAATTCATACATAATACATGACACACTAGTGCACACCCATCAGTAAACTGATTTACCCTCACCCCTTCCCTATGCATTACAAAAAACACATTAAGTGAATACCCATTCTGAGAGTATCCAGATAAAAGTGCAGCCCGTGAAACTATATTCCTTTCGGCAATTTATCAAACATGTTGCGGATGGACACCATGTCATAAGACATTGAATAAACAATGATCAAGTTGGTTCAACATTTGCAGATAATCAAATAGATATAAGATAGGAGTGAACCAAACAGTGTAACCGTTTGGCATTACAGAGCGCTTCAATGGATGATTTCATGATTGGGCTAAGCCAGTTCACTACATTCCTATTCATCATTGTTTTGCATGGATATATAGTTTTTTCCTTTCTATGCAGAAAAACATCTATAGCAAATGAACTAAAAATGAAGAAAATGCCTTACATTGTACTAGTTGTGGCCGGAAGTTCATTTGTTGCTTCTGGTAAGCTCATACAAGCTTCAATCAGCTGGGTCTAGTGCTTCTAAGCCTGTCATCGCAACTGCAACGGCGAAGAAGAAGCCTGCTAACCCCAAATGCCCAAACAAAACTGAGAACTGACAAAATTAGGGTCAATTTTGGAGCCACCGTAGCACACGCCGACGAAGCCATCTCTACAGGAAGTCCGAGCCACCGTATTACTCGCCGACGAAGCCATCTCTACCGGAATTCCGAGTAGCTCCACACTTGCATAAAAGCCCTCTATTCATTCATTAATTAATTAAGCAAAGGTGTTTAGTTGAATGGTTAACACTTTTCTTAGATGGTTAACTTGTTATCAATGGTTTAATAGTGTAGGGCAAGGGATGTGTATCGATTTGATGTATTATCGATTTGATTTATTACTTTTTGATTTTGAACTAGTTTAAATCAATAACTAAACCAATAAGATATTTTCATCGGTTTTCAATTTGATTTCTTTTACTTTTGGTTTTCGATTGGATCAAAAAAAGAAAATGCTCATAAAATAATGGTATGACTTGTCCGATAATTTGGTGCGACAAGATAGTAATGTAACTTTACGTAATGATGATGAAATAGAAACAATATTACTAACATGAAAAGAACTTTATGTGTACACCGCAGATAAAAATGTAAATTGAAGGCTAATAACTAATAACTATACACTTCATAAAGATACCAAACCATATAATTGATTACACAATTTGAAATCATTCAAACAAAATACCATCATAATATTCCATCAATTTTTTTGGTTGAGTGTAGTACTGCATCATACATTATACATTAGTAATAGTATCAATATAATCTACTACAAAATTGTTTTTGGATCCTTTAGGTAGTTTTGTCTAATCGGTTGGCATCTGAAAGCGGCAAAGCGGGCAGTAATGGCTATTCTGTAACCACTTGGTAATACACTCAGCATGAAACATATGAGAGCAAGGCAACCGCAGTACATCAGTTTCCTCCCCTAACTCATCTAGACATACCGAACACTCATCGTTGCTATTTCTTTCATCAGCTTCCATCGGCTCTAGCAACTCTATTGATGATTCACTAGCCGGTACCATTCCATCCACAGATGATGATTCTTCCAATGCTAACAAAATTCTACCATCGCAATAGTGATCAATCTGTAAGTGCACATCCACACATGCCTCTGACATATCAGAATTAATGATCCTTTGCAACTTACGAGTTGTTTGTTCAACTATAGCGTGTTGTTGATCTTCAAACTCGTCTTTAATATGCATAAACACTTGTGATAGAGCATGATCAAGTTTCTCATAGAGCATGGTATCGGAAAGATAATTAATAATTTGGATCGACTTGGTTGAACAGTCCTCCCGTATTTCACCCCAGTATTCGGATTCTTGATCATTATTAGGTCTTATATACCAGAATTGTTGTTGTATACTGAAATTGAAGTGAATGATTAAATAGGGTAAAAAAGAAGAAGAAACAATTGGTTCAACGATAACAAAAGAGTTCTTGAAGCAGTCATGGGATACAAACCCTGTTGGAAACATATTGCAATTTTTGAGAGAAGAAGTCAATATTTTTTTTACTAATGGGAGACTTACCCCATTTCAAGTTTATTTATAATATTACTATCAAATCTAAACTGATTAGGAATAGGATTAGTGAGTTTCTATATTCAAAAAGGAAATACGTGGGGAAAAATTAAGAGAAGTACACGTTTTAAGGGAAATACTTCATAAATTGGAAACTTCAAATATTATTTCTAGTTTTATTTATGGAAAAGAACACGTTTTGGAAATACGCTTCAAATATTATTTGTATTTCTATTTATGGAAAAGAAAATTGTTTAGGGAAGTAATCCATAAATTGGAAACTTCAAATATTATTTGTATTTTTATTTATAGAAAAGTAATTAAAAGATACTTACCAATGCTCTTCTCACTGTAACTTCCAGGCTAATAAGACCATAATTTCAGTACTGAAATCTTAAAAGACGTTGCATTGCTATAACTGTGATGTCTCATGTCTATGTCAACTTACACGCACATCGACTAATTCCAAACGTATTTGCTACAATAATTTTAGACTTAAAAGTAGGCTAAAGTTAGAATAGCTACATCAAAAACTGATTGTTTTTTTTTACAGAAAAGGTATGAAGTTTTCATTTTATCTCTAAATCACAGATTCGACAGCTCGAGTAAAATTGACAGGGCAAGACATGTATGAAGCATAAGCGATTAAGTGGGTAAGAACGAATACCTATTTATTGGTTCATTGCATCATCACTGCATGCTGAAACTATAACTACCAAAGATTACTTTCAAAAAATCCAGGTAGAATGAAGCATTTTCATGTATCAGCCACGAAGGTAGAAGTTCCACCATATCATTGACAGATAAATGAAAAAGGCATCCTCCACTTAGAATTAAAATCAACCAACCCACTCTTGTGAATGCACACTTGTATTTGCTTTACTAAATTCATATATGCCATACAAGTGCATGCCCTCAAGCCACTTCCATATGTAAACTGTTTTTCCCTCGCCCCCCTTCCCTATGCATAGCAACAAACACAGTAAAGGTCATTTGGTTGGAAACAAGTTATCCTGCGATAACTAATCCTGTGATAAGTTATCTCGGGATAATCCAAGAACTACCTAATACCTCCAACCAAACGTGGGATAAAATAATCCTATATTTTATCTTGAGATTATTATATCTTATACCTCACGCCAAATACCCATTTTAAGAGTAGCCATGTCATCAGCAGAGTTGGACCCCATGCAAAGTTGAATCTAGTTAAAGATTACTCCGTTTATAATCTTTAACAGTAAACAAATTTCATAATTAATTCTATTATTATTTTTTAAGTAAAGTATTGCACGGACTTAAAAAAAAAAACTTGACTCTTGATAAAAACACAAACATCAAAAATAAATTAAATAATCTCTAAATAGTCCTTTAATAAAGACAAAGTACAAAATTGTGTTGACATTAAATTATTGCTCCGTTGGCATCGCAAAGAGGACAATAATGACTTTTTTCTAACCACTTGATAATACATGACTCATTCTTGATATCTCTTTCATCAACTTCTATCTTATTTAGCAAGCGTATTGATGATTTACTAGCCGGCACCATCCCGTTGAATAACTCTTCCTCTGATGCATATAAGTTTCCGCTATACACTCATTCTCAAA